CCTCCTTGTCACCACTGGTGGGAATATTCATTACTGGCTCCAACGCTGAGCCAACAGTATTGAGCGGCCTAACTATGATCAATAGAATTCCGGGCCTCGTTTTGAATGTTTACAGTCATCTTTAAATGCGTATTGGTTTTGCTTAATTTTAAGTAGAACCTGTTTATGCCAGATTGCATTACTGGCAGACAAAGTAGACTGGGGGGGAAAAAAAGCCCCTTTGATGGCCAAAATGAGAAAAAGTGCATCAGCTTAAAGCCGATGAAAGCTGTGACTTGATAGGGAATGTAATGTATTCGTTTTTTCACAATAGCTTAATCAAAATTAACCATGAAGAACGAAGTAGCATCCATTAAGTTAGCTGGCAGATGACTATGAGGCAGTGGTGTTGGAAATCATTTTTATTATATAGATGTATCAATTTCACAGCACTGCTATGCCCAAGTCTCTACTTTTCTGCCCCACTTAAGTGGCTGCTAAAGTATCATGGTCACTTATGTGCCATAAAACCAGGATTATTTCTTTTCAAGACAAATAAATCACATGGAAAACATATCTTATAAAAATGACTTTGAAAAGGTGTTGTACTCTAAGTGTTCCAATCTGAGTTTTGCAGCAATGGAATTTATGCAAACATCTTAAGAAGGACGGATTTGACCGTGGGATGACCAGCTCCCCAGCGATAAGCTCCTCCTTATTGCACCAGCACGGAAGTAACATGCAGTCCCCTGTGTGAAACCATGCTTCAGCTCAAGAAGAAAGGTACATGGGTCACTGCAATATCGAGGTGATGGTTCATAAATAGTTTTCTGTCAGTACTGGCTCATACAGTATGTCTGTGGCACTCATCAAAAGCTATATATAAGAGCAGTTAAACTGTTATACATGGAAAACACCTTGATCCCGCCACAATTAGAGCCTCTTCTAGTGTAATGATGAGGTCATTAAACGTGATGAACCTGATAAGCATTCTTCAAAATTATCTCATGAATTAATGGAGTGAAGACTTGCAGCCTAAGCAACAAAAGAGGCAAGAGAGGAAAATCAAAAGTGTAATCAGGAAAGTCTGAGAGCACTATGATAAGATGGTATCTTGATGAAAAGGAAAGCAAGGAGCAAGGAAGAGTGCCTTTCTTACATTATTATTTAGGCGCAATGGCTGGGAGGCATGCTTTTGAGTTTCGTTTTATATCCTATCGAATTCCATGCCGGAGAAAGCAAAGGGGAAGCAGGTCTTTAATGTCAAGGTACGATATCCCACTGTGACATTTGAATTTTTTTCATCTATTATTTCTCATAAAAAGGAACTTGTCATCTTACAGGAAATGTTTTTTAACAGGAGAAAGTGTTGGCCAGCTTAAAACTTTTGAATTTCTGAGAAAGCCCCCACATATAAACATTTAAAGCTAGACATGTTGTAAGGGTTTAGACAGGACTTAACTCATAGTTCTGAACAGCAGGTATATTATAAATTATTCCATATCTTACTGTAGTTCCATTGATCGCATTTACCGTATTGTACAGTTTGGGCTTTCTAAAGGTAGGTCAAAATGGGCCTCTAAGTCCATTTCCAGGATGAAGAAGCCGCATAATAAATTATCAACCTGAGATAATTCCAAGCAGTCAGTCTTGAGTGTCTCAAATTTCCATCCAGTAAAAGGATCTGACCTGCATCTCGGAAATCCCTTCAACAAGAAATGTGATCTTCTAAACTGTCTGACAGTTCAGTGGGATCTGTCTCTCACTCCAGAGCTTAAGAAATAGTATTGTACTAACTTATTTAAGTTGAAGTGGGAGACTCGGTATATGGATCTGTTCAAGTCAGTGAAAAAAAAAGAATTGGAATCCGACAAAGAACCTCACTGAAGAAATGTGTTGTTATTCAAAAATGACAAAATCATTTCCAAATCCCACTCAGATCTTACGAGGAGGCTCTGCTATTTTTAATTACTTAAGAAATGTCTATGTAACACAAAAAACAAAGACTGCACAAAAAGTCCATTATATGCTGCTGGTTTGGGGTTTAGACTACGTTGTGTGGGCTTGATTTTTTGTGTCCTCAAACACACTCTCCTTTCTTTATTGGATGAGCAAGACAGTAAGTCCTAAACGGTTACAGTACATTAACATCCCTCAACGTGTAACAAGGACTAAGCGAATATTTCCTCATTCAATTTACACACACTTGACTTCACCGCAGTTTCTAACATGACCTTAGATTCCATCACTGAGCCACACAGAAGACATACACACCCAGCACAAGCACACACCCAACACACACACGGTCATACATATTAATGAGAGATCAACATCATCTTCTGCTTTACCCGACTAAGCTCCTGCCGTTTTCTCATGTACAGCAAGGACAGAGATTCACCATGCCTGCACACACACCAAGTCATACACACACACCAAGACACACACACACACACCAAGTCATACACACACACCAAGACACACACACACACACACACACACACACACACACACACACACACACACACACACACACACACACACACACACACACACACACACACACACACACACACACACACACACACAAATCACAGTAACAGACACAAAACTGCAGCATTGTTGTTCTCATTCTGCCCACTCTATTCACACACAAGCTGGCAGCGACAGCAACAAATGGCAGTGAAGGCTGAAGAGTGCCCCCTGCTGTTACACTGGGGCCCAGGTCGGACCACCTGGTCCTGGTCACTCCACCGCTCCGTCTCTCTATTAGCAGAGGCTTACTTGGAGGTGGAGGGAGGTCGATATCATACTGAAGTTACCAGAGTAATGAAACCACAGGCAACCCCGACTAAGCAAAAGAGGGAGTGGGTGCTCCAGACGAGGCTGGCAAAGGAGGTACGGGGATTTACGAAACAGCCAGAAGAAGTGAGGGCAGCGAAACTTCAAAGAGAGGCAAGATAGCCTAAAAAAAGAGGAAGCAAGCAGGTCATTCCATGAAAAAGCCAAAGTCTTGGTCGAGTTGAGAGACATTGGTAAACTTGGCAAGAAAGAAGGGGATCTGCTGGGAAGTGGAGGAAAAAAGAGTTGAGTACAGAGCGGCAGGAGTCTCCCATGCTCAGTTTCTGATTAATCTATAGGTCAAATGATTACACATTTACATTTCAAGTAATTAAGGTCAAAAACATTAATGTCGGCTATGTTTTTTACAACAGTAGTGCTTTCAGATACATAAAAAATCCAGCAAACTCCCTCCGAGTGTAATTAGTTGATCTAATATCCTTTGCATGTAGTAAGTGAAAGTCTCATCTATATGCGTCTCATCAGCTCCAGTAACTTCTTCTCTGCTCAGCTAACAAACTTTAGCTCTTAATTAAATCAGAAATAGACACTTCATTAGCAAAGGGCAGAACATGTTTAATGTGATTTTGTGCAATGGCTTGCACAAAGCCCTATTTAGACTGAAACAAACATTGAAATAAATGCGAGGAGGGATTTAACAGTCCAACACATCCAATGCTTCAAATGTGGCATTGGTGGTTCTTTTTTTTCTAAAAACAAGTGGAGGATCAAGAAGTCCTGACAATAATTAACATAATATCTGCAAGTCATTCTTTTTCTCTAATACTGTTTTCTTTGTAGCGTTATAGAGCTTTTATTTCTTCATGCCGGTGAGATTTCATAGCAGAAAAAAAAGGAAAGATGTAATGAAAGCTGCACAAACAAAAGTGTAACATCAACAATGGATCTGTTGATGTTTGAAATGAGTCAATGGTAGTGGTAATCCACAAAACTCAGGAGTTCCCATCACCTCCATTGGTTCAGGCAAATTAACTCAGGAAGCAGCAACTTCAAAGACAAAAGTGAGGGTTTATCTGGTCACTTTTCATTGCTAAACAGCCAGAAACTGCCTCTCCGTATCTAATATTTCTCTGTGTGTTTCACTTAAACTTCATATGTTAAAGGTCCCATGTCATGCTTTTCCGGTTATTACCCGTCCCCTTGTGTGTTATGAAGGTTTTTATGCATGTAAACAGTCTGCAAAGTCACAAACCCTCAAAGTACACCCTGTAGCGAGTAAAACTCTAACACAGAAAAGACCTGTCTATGCTGCCCCAGAACACCTCGTTGGAGATTTCTAATTTTCCATTGTTTTCTTCCTGGGTTCTGTGACGGGTGAATACCCAAATC